CAGTCCAGGACCTCCACTGAACCATTAGGCTGAAGAAGGCCCGGATCACTCGAAACAGCTCTGCTAGACGACACGCTGAGGAAGCAATATGATTGGAGAAATGCTGGTGTTTCACCAGCCCTATCGCCACAGAGTATCACCACAGAGTAGGCCTGATAATGGACTCTAAGCTGTGTTTGGTCATAGTCACAGCAATATTTCCTCCATCTATGCTCAAGCCATCTCCCCAACCGTTTCATAGCCAGAAGCTCCTCTGTGTACCATGGAGCCATATAGGCTCTGCAGGCATGGAGATGGTGTGTGAAGGAGAGAGAGAGAGTTCCGTCCTCCCCACAACAGAGAGTGGAAGAGGGGGAGAGATGCGTAGAAGGAATACTGGTGGATATAGAGCAGGAGCAAGTAGTGGAGAGAGAAAGTTTGGAGGTGTGTTTAGCAGACGAGAGAGGGGAGGAGCTAGACTTGATTGTATGGGAGGGGGATATAAAAGAGTCAGAAGGCGTGCCAAGTTTTAACATTCTAACGGGCACACACCCTGACAAGAAGGACCGGGCAGTGCAGGCAGAGTGGAGTGCCGGACATGAGGGCTTTTCCACACTGCTTTGGGAGTTCCCAAACCTACAAGCTGGCGGCGGACTCCTACCAGACCCTACCGGGCTGCGCGTGAAGGAGGAAGGACTTGAACCTCTGGAATGGACGGTAGTGGTATATCCACGCAACCAACGTGGGGGGGGGAGGGTGATCCGTCCCAGTCCTTCTTTACTCCCACCACAACGAGAGGGAGACTGGGCACGACACCCATGTTGTGGGATGGTGTGTGCAATGAGGAGCACCTCACTGAGGCCCATGACCGACAACGAACGGTTTGGTCTGGCCCCTCTATAAGGACAGATATTCTTACGCCTGATGTTAAGGTGCAGCATTATCATCCATTGGCAGAACTTAGTTTAATGGATCTGTTTGAGCCAATGGAGCTGAGTTTGTTTAAAAATAAATCTAGTGTTAAAAATAAGGAACAGCCTCCGACTCTCATTCCGGCACCAAGACAGGGGTCGCTCCCGGCAAACAACGAACCTAATCACATGGTGCCTAGGTGCAATCGTGTCAAGCGCCTGGGCCATCTTATTGTACCCCAAAGCAACCTGGGCTTTTACAGGAGCGCCGACCATATCAGCTGGAAACTACCCCAGAGCATTCAGAAATCCTTCAGGATCCATAAGTGTCTGGAGGTGGATCATTTTAATTGATCACCCACCCCTGCAGAGGGTAGTAGTGGCAGAGAGTCTAAACTTTACCAGGAAATGGTCCACACATGACAACGGGGTCAAAGATGAACCCACCACATCTGGACTACCATCCAGAGGTACTGCAGTTGTTTCTTCAAAGAATGTGAGCCTCACCAGCCCTGGTGGCCTTGGTGCGAGCTCTTTCTTCCATCCTGAGTCCATAGATGGCATCAAAGGTGGTGCCTTTCCCACAATTTCTGAACAGAGTCCAATAGTCTTCTGGTTATATTTACTGGTTCAGTCTCAGTACCAGTAACCCCTAATGGTATGCTCCGAGATGTACAATCCTTTGCTCCCTGGAACAAAAAGGGTGTATATACTTAAATCAAGGGCAATGGTGACCATCCTAGTTTTGGATATCATGAAAGGTTAAGAAATTGTTTTTGTTATTGTTGTTACTACTACTACTACAGTGGTTCCCCGCTTGACGACGATAATCCGCTCTAGGAAAATGCGTTCCAATGGGGAAATACTTCATCGTCCAGCAAAGATTGCCCATAGAGAACCGCCAATCAGCTGTTAAAATTGCTGTAATGTGAAGCTTCTGTCCGGAAAGCAGCCATTTTAAGAAGGGAGGGAAGCCATTTTGTAGAAGGAAGCCATTTTGCGGAACTGGAAAGTAGCCATTTAGAGAAGGGAGGGAAGCCATTTTGCGGAGCCAGAAAAAACAGGCTCCTAATCAAGGTAAAGTGGATTTCCCCCATTGGAACCATCGTTTTGCGATCGCAATAGCTATAGCAAAATGTCATCGTCAAGCAATTTTGACGTCATGCGGGGTAAGCGTCTAGTGGGGCATCACTGTACTACTACTACTGGAATGGGAGAAGCTTCTGCACTATTTTCTCCCTGAGGAGACAAAACAACATACGATATCTTTAGTTTCAGAACTGTTATTGGTATAAGTACAAGAGAGTGAAATATGATAAAATGTTACAAAGGAAAACAACCCCCCCCCGAAAAACATATATGCCAGGAAATACCCAGATGACATCATTAAGACTCAGTGAGGTGTGACAGCATGATGTAACACCTCTACATGATGGAATGGATATATCTGGCTGTTCTGTCTGAGTTTCTTATCAGTGCCACTCAGCAGGTGCCAGATTTTATCTGGGTTGCTTCAGCCAGAGCGGGGAAAAAAGGAAGAGGCTCAAATATTGCAGGCAGATATTCTGACACCACATACAATAGAACAGCATATGCTGCAATGATTCAACTGCTCCCTGGCCACAAGGGCACACTCTCAGCTCTAATCCCCTAAATCTGCCCTGCACCAAGTTGGAAGGTACAGTGTGCCTTGCTTAACGATGTTAATTCGTTCCAGCAAAATCGCTGTAGAGGGAAAACATCGTAAAGAAAAAAAACCCATTGAAATGCATTAAAACCCGGTTAATGTGTTCCAATGGGCTAAAAACTCACAGTTCAGCAGAGATCCGCCATATGGCGGCCATTTTCGGTGCCTGTCTAGCGAGGAATCCTTCCTAGAAAACAGCAGAGGGCCGTTTTCTTCAGCCGGCAGCCATTTTGGAACCCGACGATCAGCTGTTCGCTGATCATCATAATGCGAAAAATCAGTTCCCGAAGCAGGGAACCGATCATCGCACAGCAGCTTTTGCCCATAGGAAGCCTCATTTTGCGATCACAAAAAAGGCATTGTTAAGCGGATTCATCATTATATGGGGCAATCGTAAAGCGAGGCACGACTGTACAACATTGCACCTAGCAAGGGTGAATCCCCAGCAGTCCTGGGGATGATCCAAAAGATAAAAATAATCCAGTCTCCTGACATGGGAGAGGGGAAGCTGGAAGTATTGTGGAGACCAAATCTTTAATGTAGCACTATGCAGAGTTTCCCCCTCAATATCCAAGACTCTACAGTGGGCCCTGGATTTACGAACGGCCCTAGTTGCGAATGTTTCAGGTTACGAACTCCATCTCATCGCAAGTAGCAGACCCTACTTGCAAACACAGATCGAGTTACGAACCCAAAAGGCAGGGAGAAAGGGCGGGAAATTCGAATTTCCGGCCCTTCCTCCCTGCCTTTGGAGGTTTCAAAAGGCTTCCTCCAACATCGGGGGAAGCCCTTTGAAATCTCTGAAGCCAAAAAGGAGGCAGCCCTGGCAGCATTGGGTGAAAGGAGGGAGCCGATTTCTCCGCGGCCGCCCAGCTTGCTTCTCCAAATGAGAAGCAGCAAGCCGGGCGGCAGGGGAGAAATCAGCTCCCTCCTTTCACCCGATGCCGAGTCCCCTTTGCACCGGCTGAGCTAAGTCCCTGGCCCGGCGCGAAGGGTACTCAGCAGCCCCACCAACATCAGGTAAAAAGCCTTGCTTCTCCAGCACCATGGAAGGACTTCGGCTGGAACGGATTAATTGGTTTCCAGTGCATTCCTATGGGACATGCTGGCTCGATTTACGAACTTTCCTATTTAAGAATTGACTTCCAGAACGGATTAAGTTCATAAATCGAGGGTTGACTGTACTTTTGATTGTGCGGAATACCTGAGATGGGGTACTGAGCCCAACAGATCTGGTGACAGCCTGAGAGTCCTGATTTTCATGATGAATAGGGCCAGATCCTCTGGGAATACATTGTCAGAGAGCAGTGCTTGAAACAGGATGTCCTGGGCTGAGAAAAAACAGATTCTGACTGAATATTTGAAAAATCTGAGCCAAGCCAGGGCCTCAAGCCTATACTGGTCAGCTTCAAGGCATAGCGTCTGATAAGAAACACAGAAAGGCAGCCCAAAGATTTTATACAGAAACATTGACTGGACCCTTTCCATAGAACTGTGAAATGCAGCCATTCAAATGGGGACACCATAAACAAGCTGTGCTACATATTTGGCATTAAAAATCTGCAGCACAGCTGGGATGCACAAATTGTCCCAGGTATGGTAGAAGCCCAAGAATTAACTGCTGTTTGCTCATGAGTTGACCAGGTGTGTCTGTAATGAAAAAAGACACCCAGGTACAGTACTTGAACTACAGTGGACCCTCTACTTACGGAATTAATCCGTATCGGAACGGTGGCTGCAAGTCGAAAAGTCTGTAGGTCGAATCGCCATTGACCTACAATGCACTGAAAACCGATTAATCCCATAACTGGCAGTTTTTATTCTATTTTTGTTCCATTTTTTTTTTTCTGGTCTGTAAGTCGATTCTCCAGCTGCAAGTCGAATCTAAATTTTGCGGCCAGAGAAGTCTGTAATTCGAAAAGTCTAAGTCGAGCCGTCTGTAAGTCGAGGGTCCACTGTATCTAACCTGCTGGATAGTACTTCCATCGAAAGACCAAGGAAACAGCTTCCATGAGTTGCCAAAAGCTATGATTTTAAACTTGTGAAAATTAAGTTGGAGCTTATTACATAACAAATACTCATAGCAACCACTAACTAGCCACCTCATAACATGAGTTATCTTTGCCAGTTTCTCCTCACAGAAAATGGACATGCTCCTTCCTGTTTTGCCCAAAACAGCTGGTGAGCACAAGCGGCAGTCTTCTAAACTAGAAATTACTTAGACATTAATCATAGGCACAAATCTTTATCACTAGACCAAGATATACTAACAATCTACTCATTTAACTTGTTAATGAAGGCAAGAAAGGGGAAAGTACACTGCTGGTATATTATAGCCAACACATTTATATCTGTATTACAGAATTTTGGCACACACTGATGTGTGCCACACTGTGAAAATGTATAGCTCCAACTTCCTGTGATAGGCCCTTGGGCAATGGAATAAAACAGAATAGAGCAGATGATCAGGACACTTGGTCTCTGAGGGATTCTCTCTGAAGCATGCTCTTGCAGTCACCTGAAAATATTCTCTGGTGCTGTCCTAGAATGGTTGGTCATTCATTCAAAGCAATATTGCGGCTCTACACAACATATGGTTCTTTGGCTATACCCGCTCTCAGCTCAAAATACAGTGCGTAAGTTATATTGCATAACCGAAACCGCAAGTTAAACATGTGCTCTAAAGAACAGTCACATTCTTTCACAACAGGAAAGCAACTAATAACGAAAAGTAATCTAACTCAACTAGTTCTGGCGGAAGGGAAGTTCCTTTACTAATCCGCTCTCTCCCCCGCCTCCTTGATTGTAACAAGTGTACAAGCCCTACGCTCAAAGGATGAATTGACTGCTCCGGTGTCTGCCCGACGCTCAGCGGCCAATATCTGCAACAGTTTTATCTCCAGAAACAGTTTTATCTCCAGTGTCGTTTTCAAGAAGTATGCTGTGTGCCGCTCTAATCGTGCCCAAACAGCGAGAAGGCATTTTTCCCCCAACAAGCCCGGGCTCTGCCTTGTCCTGCTCCCAGTTGTTAGCAGCTAGATTGCCTCTCTTCCTGTCTCGGTGATCTGAGCAACTCCCCCGCGCTGCTCCTCTTTCATGCCCAGCGGCAACGCGTTGCTTTGAGCTCGACCTTTCCAACGCTCCGCCCGCCTGGCTGCCTGGGAGAGGCAAACAGGTAGCGGAACACCTTTGTCGCATGTGCACAGGCAGACTGTGTTCGCCCGAGGCGGGAGGAGGGAGGGTCCAGGCTCCTCCGAACATGGCAAACCTGGTTCCTTTGATCTCGGCAGACAACAAAAGGCGAAAAACCGTAAGTAATCCCACGACGTTAGTGCTTGTGGAGCTAGGAAAGGAAAGAGGCAGAACTGCGTGGATCAGCGTGTCCACGTGGCTTTTCTACAACAAAACACTATGGTGCTTGCTTGTTCTTCGCTTGGAAACAAGTCCTGTACCTTATCTAGCGAGGCTTGTTTCAGAGTAAGCAGCGCAAAGTTGCAACTAAAAGAACGCCCCTTTACGCTTTTCCCGGGGAAGTGTTGAAAGCTGAAGGTAGAATTCCAATTACTTTTCTGGACACATCGTTTGAGACGGAATACTCACGAATGTAGACCACCTATGGTTACAGATGTGCGGTATTCTTAGTATAAGTGCCTCTGGGTTCACATTTCTGATCTGAATCTTTTTTACTCCCTAATAATCTTTTATGTGTGGCGGGTAATGTGGGTAATTACTGGGTGAAAATAAGAAGAGATGCACTTTGCTCCTGTTCAAGAACTCTTGCACCTCTTTCTTCACAACGTTTGAACATGAAAAGGTTAACTAATATTGGCTTTAAAAAACACCCTGTCTGAAAACAAAAGTAAACCCATGTTTAAGAATTCATATGAAAATGATAGGGCGTGGCTGCTAGACAATTAATTGTTCATACCAGTAGGACAGGAGAACATTCTAGGGGACTTTGCCCCAAAACAACAGGAATTCTTCCTTTTATTTTCCTTCCTTTTAAAGGATTGGGTAGTGTGATGCTCTTGAGGCCTTAGCAGAAAATTGACTCCTTCCCTTTTAAGAGAGCTCAGGCACAACAGCTGTTGGAGTGCAAAGCTAAAAATATAGCCAATTACCCATGGAGAACTATAGAGAAATGAGCAGGGTTATTATTAGCCAGGTCAGAAGGAATAAAAAAGTATAAGTACAGCGTGCAGAGTTTTCTTCTTCTACTATAACCTGTGCTCATATAGTATCTTTATGAGGAATTTATCTTAACACTTTAATTTTTTACTCCAGCTGAAATAAGGCAAAAAACACAAAAACTGCAGTCACTCACTCTTGACTATTCCTGTCTGTCTCCATATGTGCTACTAACTTCAGCTGCATACATTTTAGGATGTGAACCTGTCTCAATTTACTTATCAGCACTATATTTATTGTTGGGAATGTATGTCATTCATAGTAGTGCAATAATGTAGTATTTATGAACAAGAATAGTGTGATAAAACTAAAAGTTTGTGTTATCTTTGCAAAAATTTCCTTGTGAGAAGTGCTGCTAGTCAATTTGTTTTGTTTCATATTTCTTTCAATATCACAAGAATATTGAGAAAAAAATATTTATTTAAATACATATATTTAATTAATTGCCAAATTTAAAAGCTAATAATTAAACACCTCATTAAATCTGATGGGAACACTATATAATATGCTTGTGTGTATATTTTCCCTTTGAATCTTTGCTGAACTGGACAAGAAGAACCTCTAAATGTTTTACTTAACTAGAAGAGTTTCTCTTTCAGATGTCTGTAGATTACAAAATGTCTTAATTTTTTCCAATATTACACGTTTTAAAAATATTAATATTCTAATTATTGTAGAATTAGAGTTTGGTAGCGTATGTTTCTAATCTTTCTTTCATTAAGCAGCACTCAAAATATATTTGTACTAACATTTCATGAAATATCCTTTAGTTTTAAAATGTAACGGGAGTGAACATCAGAGTTTCATACAAACAGCAGTCCAACGGCCTATCATTTTCTCAGAACTACTGTATATGGTAAAACACAGGAATAGGTATACAGAAGGATCCCTGTATCCATGGAGGATTGGTTCCAAGCACCCCTGCAGATGCTAAAAGCTGTGGATAACAGTAAACATTGTACAGTGGTGCCTCGCTAGACAATGAAAATCCGTTCCACTGAAATCGCTGTTTAGCGAAATCATCGTCTAGCGAAAAGCATTTTCCCATTGGAATGCATTGAAACCTGTTTAATGCGTTCCAATGGGGAAGAATTCTAGCGAAGATTGGTCATAGGAAAGCCGCTTTGTGACCCAACAACCAGCTGTTTAAATAGCTGTCTTGCGAAGCTTAGGTCCTGAAAACACCCGTTTTGTGAGCACGGAGGGAGGTGTCAAAATCGTTGTCTAGTGCAAATTGGTTGGCGAAGCAGGGACCAAACATTGTCCAGTGAAATTCCCCCATAGGAACCACTGTTTTGCAAATCGCTATAGCGATCACAAAAAGTCAATGTCTAGCGAAAAAACTGTCATGTGGGGTAACTGTCTAGCGAGGCACCACTGTGCATAGCATGGTAAAACGAGAAAAAATCCAGGAATTTTTTTTCATGTATTACCAGAACTGGCTACTAGACAGAGATACACCAGAACACAGAGATCTAACTCCTGTCCTCTGAAGATGCCAGCCACAGAGACTAGCGTATCGTTAGGAAGAAAAACCTCCAGAGCACATCCAAACAGCCTGGAAAACCTACAACAGCCATTGGATCCTGGCCATGAAAGCCTTCAAAAATACAAAAATCATTTTTCTTACATGAGAATCTTTAAAGTGCATGTGTATGTTTTCTCATCAAATTAATGAATCATACTTTAGTTAGGGAAGCATTTTTTAAAATCTGTTTTTCATTTGGCAGCAGTTCCTAGATGTGCTCCTAAGGATGAATAGAGGACTAAGTTTTCATTTCAAGATCATGGTTCTCATTCTGGCATAGAAATAATAGAGCTGACACTAGTGAAAATACAATTGCCTGGTTTATGATGCAGTAACTGCTAATTCTTGGAAGACCTCTGTGACATTCACCCAGTGTCCCCTGCTTGTTTCCCCCAAACCAAGGGTTCACTCTGATGACATTCTCTCTTTCCTTCGCTGCCACCAGTGGATTTCCCCTATCCACACTGTAAAAGACTTTAATCAGACATTTGCTGCCAACAGAACTTGTTTATTAAAAGATATTAGGTTGAATCTGAATCACATATGTAATTTAATCATTGTATAGCATCAAAATCATTGAAACCTCATATATTTTGTTACATAATCACCATTGGTTTTATTTATTCACTTTAACCAGATTATCTTTATTACTATCAGTTCTATTTCTCTGACTCTCTCTCTTTACTCTTCAACCTCTCCTTCACACCTTGTGCTCTCCTTCTCTAACTCACTGACTGAATGATCCCACCCCACCAGTCCTCTCATAGGCTCGTGCACATGAGCTCCAGCTATGAGTGACAGGAGTGATGTGAGCGTTCATCACAACCTCTAACTTCCACTTAGTGTTCTAATTGGAGTAATTGTGCCAAAGGTGGCTTTATAAACATCCTTTTAAAATAAAATTTTAATTTTAATTTAATTTTAATTTTATTTTATTTTATTTTAATTTCAGGACTGGTCTGCTAGTCTTATTGTTGCTTCTCTGGCTGGAGCCTTTGGATCTTCTTTTGTCTATGGTTACAATCTTTCTGTAGTAAATGCTCCAGCAGTGGTAAGTGAAGGCTACATTTACTTTATCTCAATCTGGTCCAACCTCTTTTGTTATATTTGTGATGAATGTTTCTTTCCTTAGTCTTCCTTGCACAACACTAAATATTAATAAATAAATGTTCACATTGCAAATTTTGTGGAAGATAACATCTGAGGTTTTCAGATCTATAAACAGTTTGGAGTTAAAAAACAGAGTCTAGTAAAGGGTGATGTAGGCCCAACTCTTCATATGTTAAATAATAATTGCAGCTGTAAAGTTCTGGTAGAACAGAAGATAATCAAGCTTTAATGGACCATCTAATTGCTTTAAAGTCCTTCAAAGTACAACTGCACTTTAAAGTCCTTGAGAGGCACACCAAACTGTATGGGCGCTGTTGCTTCATGATGCTTTCCACAAGTTGTGTGCATATGTGTTCATGCAAGTATGTGCGAAGCAGAGCTGGGTCTAGGTTTTGGAAAGCTACTGAACCAGATGCCCCATGCAACCCCCACCACTGTGGCACTTTGGTCCTGCATGCAACAGCAGCAGTTTCTCTTTTTTAATGTTGCTAGCAGCAAGCAGTTTCCACCAAAGTTACCAGAAAGGAGAGGAAAGCTGCCATAGTGTGTCATGTTCCTTTTTATGAGTGATAAACTAGGGACAGGGGCTCAGTTCTAGAGCCTGCAGAACTTATCTTTGTGGACTACATCTCCCTGAATCATCCAGCTCAGGAATCACTCTGCAAATTTAAAGTGTTCCCAGTTCTTCAGACCCAGTCCTGCCAATGGCAACAGGAAGAGGACTGCAAATAAAACAGTATAGGCGAGATCTCAGTCTTTCATGATGAATGCTTTGCATAAACATCTAGGAATGGAAGGCCCTTTAAAACTGTCACTGTTTCTGAGGTATATGGATGATACTTTCTTGATTTGGCTACATGGAAGAGAGCCCTTGGATATATTTGTTACCTATGTTAATAGCCTTCATCTACCGTATTTTTTGCTCCATAAGACGCACGTGACCTTAAGACACATCTAATTTTTAGAGGAGGAACACAGGGAAAATATATTCTGAACCAAATAGTGTAATAAAATATTTAATAAGCTATAACAGAATAACATTTGAACCATGTAAAGTGAACAGCAGTCAACAGTGGCATTAATATAGACCATTATCAGCCAGTCATAAGACCTATAGCACTCTACCTATATTTTACATTTCCTTTCATCTACCTCCTCCCCATGCTTATAGAAATGTCTCAATGACAGATGAGATTGTTGTGCAACTCTGCCCAGCACAGCTCAAGCCTATATTACGTTAGAAATGGTTTGTCTGATTTGGCGCTGCATTGAGAGGTCCCTTTTAGTTGTGTGGAGGATAAATAGTGGAATTAAACTATTTAACAGCTGGTTTTCTTATTTACTTTAGGTTATGCAAAAGAACAGCAACACAAAGCTTAACCTGATCCCATTCACCAGCAGTAGCACATGCTCAGCATAAGACCAAATATCCATTTTCTGACAAAGTTGAATGTTTAGAGCATGCAAGGCACAACAGGTTAGGCAACACAAAGCCAGGAACAATGTTCTTGATGAGCCAAAAAAACTGAATACAAACTATAGTAGCTGAAATCAGGAAGCAGGTACTGTAATCCAGTTAGAAGTCACGAGGCACAGTTAGTTTCCTTGCTGCAACACCCTTTGGACATATGTTCTCTAATTAGATGCTCAGAACTAGTTGAAAAATTTGCAAATTGAATCCAGATTTCCCATAGAAATGCATTGAAAATTAATTAATGCATTTTTATGGGGGGGGAGGTCAGAAACTTTAAAAAACTTAAAAGAAAGTCACTTACCAGGTACTGTAGACTGAGCCTTGCTCTTCACTGTTCCTTGGTAGACCCCAGAACAGCCAAAAAAGAGCCCTAAACAGCTAAAAGCCAGCAGGCAGCTGGCAGACATCAGCCATTTTGTGCTCTTCTCGCTCCTGCTCCTTCCCCCTCCCCTCTCCCCACCTAACAGCTGATCGGCGCTAGTCTGAAAGGCTTTGCAGGCAGCTTTTAAAACAAGTACCCCTATGCACGTTTCTACACAAGCAGGTTTCAACTCAAATGGAGCACCTTTTCCCCCAAGCACAGTTTAACCCAAAGCAAGCAGCTTTTAAAGTAAAACAAGCAGATTTTTAAGGCAAGCATGCACATTTCTACACTAGCAGGTTTCAACTGAAACGGAGCACCTTTTCACCCAAGCACTAACCCCAAACAAACAGCTTTTAAACTAAATTTAACATTTTAAAATGACAATACCAGGCAGTCCCAGGTCTCTCTCCCAGCTCTCTAACTGCTTGGACTAGCAAGGAAGCAGACAAGCAGCCTCTTCACTAACTGAAAGTTTGAATTTCCCCACTTTCCCTGCCTTCCCCGCATATTAGGTATGCTAATATCTGTGCACTGGAGGATTGTGGGAGGAACATCCAGCCCCTGATGGGGGTCCTGTGGGGCACCCCAAAACACTGAATAGCTCTCTTGGCCTCTTTCGGGACTGGGGCTGTGCAGCCCTGTTCTGATCAGGAGGTGCAGCCGAGGGGTCACCATGCCTTTGGGGGACAGGGCGCAGAAGGGGGCAGGTGGTTTAGGGGACATTCCAACTCATACTTGGCAGAGGAGATACCATTATTGTAAAAGTGGTTTTCCTGGGGTAAGGCTCATCTATTGCACTCTGGATGTGCTGACCCCTGTGATTTCCCCAAATGTGGGAAAATCAACTGCCTAAGTGGGGAACTGTGTTTCTGGTTTCCCCTGTTCTTTCTAGAATTACTCTTTCCCCTTTGGTCCTTGGCTATTTTCACTGCCTGCTACCATAGGCCTGTTAGCCTTGCTGGTTTTCCAGGTGGGCTGCAGGAAGCAGATCCTGGAAAGCCAGCAGTGCAGAATGGTGAGATCTAAACAGCAAGCAGTCTCTGGTGCTAGTTCAGAGGCCTCCCAGCATGGCAGTAGGGAGCTTCTGGGTGGTGGTGGTTGAACCCTTTTTTTACTGTATTCATTCCATAAGACACACATACTTTCTCCCCCACTATTTGGGGGGGGGAGTGTGTCTTATGGAGCAAAAAATACGGTATATATTAAATTCACCACAGAAACAGAGAGAGCTATGGGCTTTCCATTCCTAGATGTTATGGTCTGTCAGTGGCCAAATGGGACATTGGGTCATAGAGTCTGTAGAAAGGCCACTCATAACCAACCAATATCTGAATACCATCAGCCATAAACATCCTGCCCAGAAAAGATCAGTCCTTTGTACTTCAGTTCACAGAACATATGTGTTGCTGGATGCGGATTCTTTGGATGATGAGTTCCAATTGTTACAGTCCAAATTTAGGGGAAATGGGTATTCTGTTAGGGAAATTAATTGGGCATTGGATTATAACAACAGAAAAGTGAGACAAAAGGAGGATGAGGGTGAAAAAACAAAAGGGATGGTATTCTTCCTTTTTAGTGACACATTTCAGCACAGATAGGAAGATATGCTCATAAGATTCATTTCAAACCTGTTTTCCATCCTATTAACAATCAAACAAATGGTCCATCCAGGTAAAGATCTTCTCAAACTCAGAGCCATGGGCATTTATTGAGCACCATGTTGTGATGGTCAAGCTTACATTGGGCAGACTGGAAGATCTGTTACAGAGAGAATATCTGAACATTCATGATACATCTGGACTGAAAAATCTGGACTGGCTGAACCTTGTATCAGATATGGCCATCAGTCCCAATTGAATGGGGTACAAGTATTTTAATTCATTGCATGGAAATCGCTGTCTTGTGAAAAAATCTTCTTGTGAAACCCAGTTCCCCATTTGAATGCATTGAAATCTATTTAATGCATTCCAACTGGGAAAAAAAATCACTGTCTTCCAAAAATTATCCATAGAAGGAAGACATTGTCTTGCAAAACACAGTTCCCCATACCATCTTGGGGAAAAGCAATCTCCTCACCTGCACTGCCTTTAGAAATTCAATGGGTCTCAGATAGCCTTCTCCTTCTCCTTCTTTCTTTGTTGCTGGAGAGAAAAAGAGGGGGTAAAAGGAGTCAAACCCCCTTCTGTCCCCTGACCCCCCAAGTCATGGTGACCCCCTGGCTGCACCTCCCACTCAGTGCAGAGCTGCACAGCCCCAGTCCTGCCAGAGGCCAAGAGAGCTCCCCAGTGTTTTGGGGTGCCCTGCAGAACCCCCATCAGGGGCTAGGTGTTCCTCCCACAATCCTCTAGTGCACAGGTATTAGCATAAGCTATTAGCACTAGAGGATTGTGGGAGAAACAATTAGTATAAGGTATTAGCATATGCTAAGACCTGTGCACTAGAGGATTGTGGGAGGAACACCTAGCCCCTGATGGGGGTTCTGCAGGGCACCCCAAAACACTGGGGAGCTCTCTTGGCCTCTGGCAGGACTGGGGCTGTGCAGCCCTGTACTGAGTGGGAGGTGCAGCCAGGGGGATCACCATGACTTTGGGGGTTAGGGGACAGAATGAGGTAGGAGATGCAAGGGCCATTCTCAATTATACCTTGCAGTGGAAATACCATGTCCTAAAGATGGTTTTCCCAGGGGGTGGCTCATCCACTGCACTTTAGGTATGCTGCTGATCCCTGTGATTTACCTAAATGTGGGGAAATCAACTGCATAATTTATGTTGATGAAATAATTGCATTTATGATTTCCCTGGTATTTTTATAATCTCTTTATCCTTTGGTTTCTGGCTAGTTTTACCACTCTCTATCATTTAAATTTGCAACCATAGCCCCATTGGCAACGCTTTGCAAGATGGCTTTCCCCCCCAATTGGAACACATTAATTACATAAGATCTACTTTTTTTCCAAAAAAAGTGGGGGAGAAAGTGTATGCTGGTGTTTTTCCAGGAGGCAGACCCTGAAAAGCCAGCAACATACACTTTAGTCCCAGCAGCATATACTTTTTTGGGATAAAAAAGTAGGTCTTATGTAATTAATGTGTTCCAATTGGGGGGA